GGTACCAAAAAGAAATGGATGGTGTTCAACCATTTCAAGAAGTCCCAGGTGCCACTGAATGCATTGGCAAAGAACAAGGTTCCGGGAGTTTATGGAATACAAATTGAAAATATTTCAACAAACCGATGCAGCATTGGAGGCACTCACTCACCTCTATTCCAAGAAATGTGGCCAACTGACTGGAAGAGATCCGTATCGGTGCCCATTCCAAAGAGAGGTGACCCAGCCCATTCCAAAGAGAGGTGACCCAACAGAATGTGGAAATCATTGGACAAAATCATTCATCTCCCATGTAAGTAAAATGTTGCTCGAGATAATTAAAAAATGGCTGAAATGGTACATTGACAGGAATCTGCCAGAGGTTCAAGCCGAATTCAGATGAGGAATGAGGGCTATCATTGTTGATGTCAGATGGATCTTGACCTAAAGCAGAGAATGCTAGACTGTTTACCTTTGCTTTATTGATTATGCAGAGTCTTTTGACCTTGTGGATCTGACATGCTATGAACAACATATGGAGAATGAGTATTCTGGAACACTTCATTGTGCTCATGTGGAGCCTGTACATACATAAAGAGGCATTCCTTCAACAGAATTCAGGGGTACATAGAAGAGTTTAAAATTAGGAAAGGTGTGTGCCAGGGTTGTATACTTTGACCACATTTATTCAATTTGTACACTGAGCAAATAATCTGAGAAGCTGGATTATATGAAGAAGAATTTATCATCAGGATTAGAGGAAGACTCATTAACCTGTGATATGCAGATGATACAACCTTGTTTGCTGAAGCAAAGAGTACTTAAAATATTGATGAAGATCAAAGAGCACAGCCTTCTGTATGGGTTGCACCTCACCTCTGGACCAATAAGTGATCCATGATGTTAAGATGGCAATACCACCATTTCTCTCTTCTTTGAATCTTTCTTGTATCATTCTGAAAGTCTCGTTGCTTATTCCCTGAGTTCGTTCTCTTCTCCCCATTCCTTTGTCTCCACTCATTTCTGGCTCTGAGTATCTTGGCTAGTCAGTGTCTTCCTGATTGCTTGTCCTCTCTGCTGTCTCCCGTGTCTCTAATCTGCATCAGTCTCCATTGTCCTCTGGTCACGGGTCACAATCTGCTGATGGTCTGGGACACTACTCTGGAAGTGTTGGAGACTGAGACCACAGCTTTCCACATGGTAGTTACTCATCTCGGGCACATTCTGAGCATCTAAAAGTCCAGAACTGGGTTGTACATTCTTGAAGGCCATGCTGTAGGACAGTAGAGCTGCTCCAGCCTTCTCCATATGTCATGTCCATCCCAGATCGGAGTTGGAAATAGCTGAGATTTATGAGCTCATAACTTCTTAGTCCAGGTCTTTGGTCAGTCCACAGTGCTGCTCTGAGCTTGTAGCCTGATGCATCCTGGGCACTGTGGCCTCTGGGATGGTGCAGAACTGATGTTATAATGCATTTGAGGGGCAGATTCCTCTTAAGTTTGTTGTAAACCCTTTAATAAGTTTTAGTAGCTCATCCTGGTATACTGTGACAGACCAGGTTTGAAAATGGTCTGCCAACTTTAAACACTAATCTTTTAAGTGCATTCTAGTGCCTTTGTACTGATTTATTTTCCATAGCCAAACCTTTTAATAGACTTAAAACTCAAGGAAATAAAAGGCAATAATGGTTGTAATTTTAAGTAAGTCTTCAATTATAAGTAATAAAAAGCATTTTTATACCTGTTACCATAGTTACCAAGCAGCTCTCCTGTGGTTCATTCCAAGTAAGACATTGAGAGTGCTTTTGTGAGGGATAGGAGAGGAGAGGAGAGGGTGCGGCAGGGTTTTCCCATGGAAAGAGGCAGTGTTACTGGAGGGGCTGTCTTAAACTGGTTTATAGGGCCCTCCTGGGGTGGCAGTGTGGATTAGTGTGCCTAAGACCACAAGGTCAGTTTGAACCGAAAGGTCGATGGTTCAAACCCACCAGCCACTCCTTGGAAACGCTTTACAGGCTCAACAATAGCAACAATTCAACCAAGAGCCCTGCTGGAGTAGTGGGGTAAGGGTTGTCCTACTAACCGAAAAGTTGGTGGTTTGAACCCACCAGCTCCTTACCTCATGGGAGAAAGATGCGGCTGTATGCTCCTACCAAGATTGATGCTTCAGAAGTGGGCCATTCTTTGTGTCCTGTAGGGTCACTGTGAATCTTCCCCGACGCGCTGGCAGTGAGTTTGGTTCCCCCTTAGTCCTAACTGTCTTCGCTTGTGAGTGGAACTTTTCTCTGAGTTATGGTAACCTACTTAACTGGCTATCAGAACTGCTGCATTCAGACTTTAGACGGTTACTGCTGTGGGCTCGTATGGGCCTCTATCTGCAGGCTTTGAAAGCTTTGTTAAATAAAGTACACTTCAGACACCCCTTATACCTGCAAACACAGCTGTATCTGGAAGGACTGACCTCAGGAAATGAAGATGAGGCCAGATTATAAAGTGTTTGAAGGCTGGGACATGGCAGCTCCGTGCTGTGCCTGGGATCTAAGAGCATCTGAACCCCACATAAAACCCTACCAACCAGATCCAGTGCTGCCAAGTCGATTCTGACATCGACCTTAGAAGACGTAGTAGAACTCCTTATGGAAGGAAACTGCCACTTCTTCTCTTGCAAAGTGGCTGTGGGTTTGAACCACCCACCTTGTGGTTAGCAGCCCAGTGCTTAACCCACTGTGTCACCAGGTATCCTTGAACACCACATGGGGTGGATCTTATGGTTTGGTGCAGGTAGAGTTAACTTTTCTTTCCTATTTTTCTAAGAGATTCTTTTCTGCTGGATCAGAGCATGTCCGGGGGCGGGAAGAATGTGTCTCAGCACTGGACTGATAGTTTAGGGAGAGATGGTCCTGAGGTGGCCAAGGAGAGCTAGAGACAAGAAGGCCTGGGGGTTCAGATGCAGAACGGTCGAGGCCGTGCAGGAAGCTCGACAAACAGGAGCAAAGCGGGTGGTGTACGCTGCAAATCTGTGGAAAGGGGCCCCCTGACATTGACATTGTGGTGAATCTTGGCCTCCTCCCCCCGGCCCCTCAGACATGCTCTAAGATGGAGTCATCCTTTCTCCACCTCAGCCCTGAGTTCACCTCTTCCTCTTCACAGTGCTCTCTACTCTGTGCACCCCATGTCCTGACATCTTGTTAGAGTCAAAGGAAGATCTTAGTCTTTTAAGCCAAAGCCTTCACTTCCCCCAGGAAGTACTCAGTGCTAACCTTGAAGAAACTGACTAAGCTACATATGGTGGTGGTTATGTGCCGTGAGTCGACGCATAGTGACCTTGTACAGGGTTTCCAAGGCTGTAAACCTTTACGGGAGCAGAAAACCTCATCTTTCTCCCACAGAACAGCTGGTAGTTTCAAACTGCTGACCTTAAGATTCGCAGCCCGGTTCTTAACCACTATGCTCCCAGCGCTCCTTTTGTACACATCAACAGCCATGGTCATAGCCGATCTGAATCATTTGGGAGTGGGGTCAGGAGCTGTTGAAGGAGGAGTGGAGGCCCAGGGCATCTGTTTGCTGCAGGGCAGCTCTGGTCCCTGGGAGAGCCGTAGCTGAGTACATGTGTCGTTCTCTGTTCTGTGTCTTGTCCACAGAGCCTCGTGTCATATGTTGTTACTTTTGTTCCACCTTAAAAAAGATGGGAGAGTGAGCCACTGTCATGTATTGTTGCCAGAGTGTTGGCAATTTGTTTCCGACTCAGCAACCGTGTATATGGTTTCCAAGGAGCAGCTGGTGGGTTTGAACTTCAATCCTGTGGTTAGCAGTTCAGTGCTTAATCTGCAGTGCCACACCAGTGTTGTTGTTGTCAAAGTCAGTACCGACTCATAACAACCCTGTACAAGGTTTCCCAGGAGTGGCTGGTGAGCTTGAACTGCCAACCTTACAGTTCAGCGCATTAACCTGCAGCACCACACCAGTATTAGAGGTCACTTTTTTAAAGGACTTTCCTATCCAGAAGGAGAAATAACCTCTCTGAAGTGTAAAGTGCAGACTTCCGGACAGGTAGCAGGGAGCAGCCCCCACCTGCCTCCTGGCCTCAGAGCAGCAAGGTCAACCATCCCTTAGAGGCAGGGACGCTGTCGGGGCTGGGGAGTGGGGGGGGTAACTGTCTAGACTGCTTCCAGCTGTGAGCAGACTTTCTAAGTCCCTAATGTTTCGATGTGTGTGTGTGAGTGTGAGTGTGTTGAGAGAACTGTAGAAGACTACATTTTCTCCTTTATCTTTAATAGTTTTCTTTTTGTTTCATTTTCTCCTTTATCTTTAATAGTTTTCTTTTTGTTTTTTTTTTTTTTTTTTTGCGTGTATCACCATGAGTCATTTTTGGAACAAGGCAGCGTATATATCTATCAGATCTGCCTGAAAAGTTTTATCTTCTGATCGTTAGAGAATCCCAACAGCTGGTTGCAGTTTAACTCTACCAAACACTGCCATTTGTGGGGCTTTCCAGTTTAACTCCAGGTGCAGTCTGTACCTTCTGGGACTGTTAAAGCTGTTCCCAGAAAGTTGTCAGGCGATGCACACGACACTGATGAACTCCGTCAGCTGAGGAATCAGAGGCTGTGCCCAAAGCTGGTGTGTCCTAATTGATTCTGGTTTTGGAGCGCTTCGCTCTAAGGGTCCCTGGGGCTCGATAAGCCTGCTCTCCCTGGTTGGAAGGTCTGCCTTAGTGTCACAGCTGCTGTGGCAGCTTTTTTTTAACCCACTAAAAAGCAGGATGAGATAGTCTAATGTGATCTGCCTACTGGTTTTAATGATCATTAGGATTCATTGTCAAGTCTTCAAGTTAGGGCCTCATAGACATCTCGTAGATTTCACGCTCAAACAGATGCACCCAGAATTTCTCTTAGCAACCTCAGACCCAACTGCAAATAAGCTGCTGCCTAGAAAAGACTTGGAGTGTTGAGTGCAGGACACACGGGTTCTGTCAGATGGGATGATCCCAGGACACAATGTGACCATGGTTTGCCCCTTTGGCAGGTGGATGTGGGCGTGGTGCACTTCACGCCCCTGGTTCAGCCCACGATACAGCAGCCCTTCGAGCTGGTGGAGAAAGTTGTCCAGAACGTATTTCAGTTCAGAAGGAAGTACTGCTACCGAGGACTGGGGTAAGAGTGCCTTTCTCTTCCTTTATCCAGACCTGGTCACTTGTCACGATGGGCTGGTTCCTCCCACAGGGCTGCTCACCCAGCCAGCAGCTCTCAGCCTGACAAGCTGCTTCCAGAAAGATGACAGCTGAAGAAGCCGTGGGAATAGTTTTAGTCTGTCACACACGGGGACGCCTAAGTCACAAGTCCGCAACAACAACAAATTAACAATAAAGACTGGGACCTTACTGTGACGTTCTGATTCTTGGAGCTTTAGGTGACGGTTACTCTCAGTTCAAATTTTGTGATGGAATGAAACTTGGTTGCCCGAGGAGAAAGCTAGACCTTGATTTAACCTCAGATACTATTTACACATCATTTTTCCTAAGTGCAGCCTCAAACTGACAGCTGCACAGTGAACAACATCCCCCATTGGGGAGCTCGTAGCCCCTCAATCCACACTCAGACCATCTATCTACATAGACATTGAATAACGCTTGCTTTCCACCCAGTTGCCTGCTCTCCCTTGTAAGAACTCACTTGACAGCGAGGACGCCTCTGAGCGTCTGCGCTGCTCTGGATCCCGTGAGAGCGCCCTCTCCTGGGGAAACACCCCAGCTGACCCGGAGCACACCTGCGTGGGGGGTACAGAGCACCAGCAGGAGGAGGAGGCAGACACAGCCTTTCAGAGCCCGCACACCGTGAAGAGGCGTGGTGTGGCACTGTAGCCTAAGTAGCCGACTGCTAACCATAGGGTTGACAGTTCAAACCCACCAGGTGCTCCTTGAAAACCCTACATCGGGTTGCTGTGAGTCAGAACTGACTCAATGGCACTTAACAACATAACTGTGAAGAAGGAGCCCTGGTAACGTAGTGGGTCATGTGCAGTGTATTTGCCTAATGGCAGACTGTTGTTTGGTTTCTTGACTGCTGCTTCCTTGAACATTGATTGTGGATCCAAGCAAATTGAAATCTTTGTCAACCTCAATCTTTTCTCCATTTGTTGTTGTTAAGTGCCTTCGAATCAGTTCCGGGATCCTCATTCTTTGCAGCGTTAGGCATATTTTTTTATTATTCATATAGTCGGGTGCTATTGCAGAGTCAATAAAATACAGGATAATATCTTTTTGGTATTTTATGCTTTTAAGGAGCTCTGGTAGCGTAGTGGTTACGAATCGGGCTGTGAACCGTAAGGTCAGCGGTTTAAAACTACCAGTTGCTCTGCGGGAGAAAAATGAGGCTTTCTACTCCCGTAAGGATTTACACCCTCGGAAACCCTGTACAGGGTCGTTATGGGTTGGAATCGACTCAAAGGCACTTAACAACAATGCTTTTAGCAAAGCTCTGACATCAGTAATATCTTGTTCCATGTCCTCTTCTCAACCCAGCATGAATTTATGCCAGTTCCCTGTCTATGTACGCATGTAGTTGGTTATTATTTTCAGCAACATTTTTATTTGCATGTGACATTAATGATACTGTTCAGTAATTTCCACATTCTTACTGGTTAACATGTCTTTGGAATAAGCACAAACCTGGGTCTCTTATAGCCATCTATCTTCCAAATTTCTTAATAGACAAGGGAGTGCTGCCGGGGTTGCGTCCACTTGTTGAAACATCTCACTTGGTATTCCATTCATTCCTGGAAGCTGTAGGTTGGCAAGTACCAGACTTTATCTCATTCCCATTGGGTTTTTATTTTATTTATTTATTTTTTAATCATATCCTACCTCCTGAAATTAGATTTCTATGTATTCCATCTGGTGAGTCGTCTCTTAAGCTATCTAAAGAAGGTATTTTACATGAACAAATCATTGATTTTGCAGAATTCTATCATGCATTCTCCAGCATCATTTCTGTCTCCAAGGCCGTATTTTCCAACTACTGATCCTTCCCTCTTTGCTCCCAACCTTTGCATTCCAGTCACCAGTGATTATCAATACATCTTGATTGCATGTTTGATCAATTTCAGATT